AGACTGTTCATTCTCCATTTGGGAAAATCGCAGAGTGCTCGACGGGAGCTGGATTTGGGAGGACGGAGCGGGAGATCGATCGACGGAGCATCCATCCATCCATCCATCCATGGCCAAGGTGATTGCCTCCCACGCATTTCTCTCCCTGATGAAATCCCCGTCCAGCTTATCTTCCAGCAACCGCCGCCGCGATTCACCGCGCGCGGACCTGAATGGGGTTGCCCGCTTAGGAGGGTTCCGGTGGCCTGAAGGGGAGGTGGAAGTGGCAGCCGCGGAGCTCGCCGCTGGCCGGGCGGGCGAGCGGCGGCGGTGGCGGCCGGGGTGTTTAGGGTTTGGGGACAACTGAGTGAAGCGCGCGCGCTCGCATTCGAAGCGATTTTGCAGATGATATCGCGAGAATGCTGGTTGCCATCGTCTGATCCAAGATTTTCTTGGTTTTCTAACTCAACATTTTGGTGTCCTGTATCAAATTTTTGATCTGAAACTTCTGAAACAGAAAGAGTCACCATACATGCCATGGTCTGATCCAAGATTATCTTGGTTTTCTAACTGAACATTTTGGTGTGGTGCCTTGTATCAAGTTTTTGATGTGAAACTTCTGAAACTGAAGGATCGGCCATACATGCTTTTTCTGCTTCATTCACTGTCATATATGGCCAATTCTATTACTGGTCAGTAACTTTGCATTTCGCTGGGAGCAATCTGCAGAAGGCTGGTGCGGAGAGGGCTGCGGCGGCGGAGAGCTGCGCCCGAAAGAAGGCTAGGGTCGAGTCCGAGGCCAGGGCTGCTGCGTCGAAGATCACCGTCAACTTAGACCACAAGTTGCTGGAGTGCTCCGCGTGCTGCAGCCCATTGGCTCCACCCCTTTTCCAGGTACCGAACAGAACCCTATAGTTGACAGACTAGTATTCCCTTGTCAAATGCTTACTCCATTTTACTAGATTCAGTTTTACCCTGCATTTTTTGTTTACAAAGGTTATACCCTGCAGTTTAGCTCTGTGTTACGAGGTATTGACCATCTGTATGTTGATATTGATGTATCCGATAGGTCACTTGCAGCAAATCTTGCATCAACTAGTATGCTCCTCCTAGACTTCTGATTCTTTTTCTTCTGAATTCAGTACAACTGGTTCCAATGTTACTAGTGAAGTTGATAAAATTAAGATGTGGACAGATTGGTCACTACTCATTTAGTTTTGCATCACAATCATAGAACTACTGTAGATATTATAGCACAAAACTGGCACAGCAGTGGTAATCCAATGCTGTTTCATGCTTGTGCACTTCTCCTGTTTCTGACAGTTTCAGTAAAATCTGTATGTTTCTGTTTTTCTGTTTTTGTCTGCAGTGCACAAATGGCCATATCGCATGCTCAGAGTGCCGCACCAATGCGGAGTACAGTTGCAGCTTGTGTGCCGAGCCCGCCAACACCCGCTGCGACATCATGGAGCGCGTACTTGGCGGCATGACCGTGCCGTGCTCGTTCCGGGAGTTCGGCTGCTCCGCGACGATCCCGTTCACAAAGAAGCTGACCCATGAAGAATCCTGCCTCCATGCCCCGTGCCACTGCCCTATACCCTACTGCCGCCTCTATGCCAACAGTGGTCGGTCCCTGCGTGAGCACATCGAGACGAAGCACTGCTTGGTTCCATACGGCGATGCCAGAGCTGGCAGCCTTTCCCCCGTGAGGGTGTGCGACAGTGAGCCTGTGCGCCTGGTGTTCCTGGACGCCAGGGCGGTGTTCCTGCTGGTGGTCGAGCGGAGCGGGCCATCGGGGCGTGCCGTGTCGGTGGTCCAGCTCGTCAGCGAGCCGGTCAAGGAGGAGGAGGAGAAGGATTTCAAGTACAAGATCCAGGTGCATACGCGAGCAGGCGTCCTCTCTCTGTCCGGCGAGACGCAGAGCGTCGGGCGGCTGATGAGGCCTTACCAGGCAGCCGCGTCGCTGTTCGTCTCCGATGACGTGTGGTCTCCCCGGGATTCTCCCGTGTACCTCGAGCTGGAATGAGTCTAGACAAGCTGCATGCCGTTCAGTTGACAAACCTACCCCATCTGGTAGGAGAATTCAGAGACTCCATTATGTTTGTGCTCTTGTCAGTTGTGCCCTTCTGGTTGCTGGCACTATCTTATCTCTGTTGTTTTTCGAAGTTTGGTGATAGGATCACAATTTATGGTATGAGGTTAATTAAGCTGAAGACATTTGTATGGCCAAGCACATTCAGGTGTGATTTTGGGTATACTAGCATCATAGTCAATCGCATAGCATAGAGGAAGCTAATTCTTGCAGAGTGCAGATTTGTGGTGTTGTCTGGTGCCCGGCCAAGAGCTACCACTTGTTCCCTGTCCAAAAAGTGAGTCTGCAGTGTTTCTCCATATGAATGCAGAAGTATTCTTGAGCTCTATCGATCCGAAGAAGCAGCGAGAAAAATGAGTTGTCGTTTTTAATGGTAGCAAGAATAATTTTCTGCAAGTACTTTTTGTCTTGTTATAAGCTTGGAGCAACAACTAGACATGGGTGGTCTCACTAAGCAGAGAGAAAGCATTCAAACAAATATTCAAGCACACGCCCAATATCTTCCGACCGAAATGACATGTCTCATTGCACAGACAATATCCTCATGGCACAAGCACATAGAGGTGCATGAAACTATAAAAGTGCTAAATTCTCATACCGAGCTCACATGCACCTGCTTGACGCGGTACCGCGTCGTAGATCGCTCTGATGGGGGAACTCCTTGCCCATGGTCGTGGCCTTCGTGCGGAGGCGCGATTGCTGCGGCGGCACCTGGCCCTCTTCATCGCCAGAAGAGACGAAGATCTCCTCCTTGCCGGAGGAGCCAGCGGCCATGGAGCCCGAGGGCCCTGAAGAGCGATGGTGGCGGCGCCAAGATCAGGAGCCGTCGCCGCCGTGGAGAACCACAACTTGGGAATGGTGTGGATGGGAGAGAGGAGGAGGAGTTCAGAGATGACATTGTTGCATGCTAAGAGAAAGAGAGGGAAGGGAGCCGCCCCATGGGAAGGCAAATATGAAGCGTAGCTATATAGTGTTCCCCATGAATCTTATAGGATTTATTTTCCCGAGGAATACTATATGCACTATATTCCATGGAAAATCTAGCATCTACTAAGGCCTCCTTTGATTTGAAGGATTTTTCATAGGAAAAAACGCAGGAATTGTCATTCCATAGGATTTGCTACTGTAGCGTCGTTTGATTTGCAGGAACCAGTCCAGAGGAATACTGTTGCAATCCAAAGATACACTGTTCGTTTCCTGTGATTTCGCATGAAGTGAAACATTGGGTCAGACCTCTTTTTTACACAAAGACCGAGGCAAGAGGGACAAAGCTGCATACTAGTGCATGGTTTCCCTACTAAATAATGCATTCCTTGGATTTCAGTTCCTGCATTTCAAACGTTCATTTGTTTCATATTCCTCTACTTTTTCACTGTTTTTCAATCCTCTGTTTTACACCCGCAACCCTATAGTTTTCTTGTATTTTTTCTATTCCAATGCTTTTGCAATCCTGTGAACCAAAGAGGCCCTAAAACATCTTTAAATAAATCTTTCTTTTTCACGTGATTTTAGAAAAAGAGGATGACCTCGGCCTCTGCATCTGGAAGATGCATGCGGCCATTCTTTTTCACGTGATGCCATCAAACAAACTCAAATCCTGCAGGATAATATTCAAAGGGGCCCTAAATATTTTCATTTTCAAGTTATGGAGAGAAGTATTGCTACAAGTTCCATAATACTTATGCAAGACAACTTAGTATTATGATACATTTAATTTATCATTTGACATGTATATTCATCTGTAACTGCTTTTGTGTCTAGCTCTGGTGAGCTATTTCATTTTGAGGGTGAAAATATAATACACTCACAGTTTCAAAATTCGATGGAGAATCTCAGACTTTTATGAAATGAGTATAGATAAAGGCATACAATACATTTTTATTATGTTACCAAGATGACTTAGATAATCAACATAGAAACCACTTAGATAAGATGATTATCCTTACGACCCTCAGCCTACGAGTTTACGCTCATCCCTGCTCCGATCAACTTCCTTTATTTTAATTACCACGGGGCAACTCTATCCATATGTCACCGTTTATACGTACTCAAAGCGGGGCGAGTGGGGGCAGCTGCTTTCATGATCGGCCCATCGGTGGTACGGCGTCATGGCGGCGCAGCCGCTGGAGGCGTTGGAGCATGGGAGCCGGACCGACTCCAGCATGCGCTCCGCCGTGAAGCAGCGACTGTACCGCGGCGGCGGACCCAGCTGCGGCGTCTTGGTAACCTTGTCGAAGCAACAAGAGCATACAAGCCTCCCTGCCGTGTCCTGCATCAAATTGAAACAAAATGAATTTTCTTTCAGATCAGGAGGGTGAAGATGTCGATCAGTCGATGTTGGGTTTTCTTTCAGCGATACGCACGGCACGAACCTGATAGATTGGAGGCTTGAGGGGTTGCGAGCAACTGGGGCAGTTGAAACCTACCAGATCCACGGTCGCGTTGCTGGCCTCCTCCTTCCCGGGCACCCGCCTGCTCATCTTGGACTTGGAGATCTAATTCCGTTTCTAGTCTAGCTTTGCTTGACTGTTGGCACTGGAGCTGAACGTTTGGATCGCTAGATAGAGTACCCGGTAGTAGTATATATACTCCTGGTCGCGTGGTAGTCCAAGAAGCCAAGGAGAATTCTAGTCTTTCGACTTCCACTCCCCACTTCCCCATGCACTAATTCCAAGCATGCATACATAATGACGGCAACATTCCCCATGCACTAGTACTAGGAACTGTCATAAGTGTTTTTTCGAGATTGACGGGGAAAGAATCCCCACAGTTTGATATTCCAACTTGGCTAGTCTAGGCCTACTTTGTGATTCAAAGGAAAATGGATGATATACATATATTTTCTTTTCCTATGATGACATTATTCAAGCCATTTGTCCAACGGAACGTAACAAAGGAAAACTGTCTTACAATTTAGGACTTCTTTAAAACAATCTTATGCACGAAAGAATGAGACTAAGATTTTTAGTGGCATAATAACATGCTAATTATTTCTTTCCATATGGTTTCGCTTTAATTTAACTCTATTTATTAGGATCTCTGTGTTTTTCCTACTCATGTGAACCAAACACACAAGTCGGTAAAATTCCTACGTTTTACTCATTTGTTTTACCCATGCATGCCTATCCAATCCCGTGTCTTTAGAATCCTTTCAACAAAAGGATGCCTTACCAAAGCCGTTACAAGCATTACGGCAGACGGTAAAAGGAAAGAAGCTATTACACTTAGACCTAGATTTACTCCCTAAGCAAAAAGAGAAATTTAGGTTTGTGAAACTAAGTAACTTCGGTTTGAAGAGATCTTTGATGTCTTGCACCAGCCCACAACATGAGGCCTTGGTATACTATATGTTACCCCGCGCTTTGCTGCAGGAATTGGTTGATGAAAATTTGGGCTGATAATATTAGAACCAAAATTCAAAATTATGAATTATTATATTTGATCATGTATAGTTATAATAATATTTATTTAATATAGGTAGAATAATCAAATGAAAAAAATCCCGTGCATTGTTGATTGTCATGGTGGATCTTTTTCCCATACATGATTGCATGTGAGGTGGGCCTTATTTCACACTCCCTCCGTCCGGAAATATTTGTCATCGAAATGAATAAAAAGGGATGTATTTAGATGCATTTTAGTTCTAGATACACCTTTTTTTATTCAGTTTGATGACAAGTGTTTTCGGATGGAGGGAGTAATTGGAAATATAACTGGCACTGGTTTTCCTAACTTCCACAAAGATAACAAACTGTCAGGGATTATGTTCTTTTAGATGAGTCGGCGATTATGTCTGGGTATGCGGCACAACCAGGCCAAAAGCATGTAACCTGTTTCTTTAAAGCCTTGGTTCACATATTCTGGTTCTAGTAAAATCGTATGGCCTATGCTGGACATGTTTATGGTCCTGTAACAGAAGTTTTGTTGCGTCACAATAGTTAAAAGTTCTCTACATATTAGCTAGAAGCCGTGATTTTTCAGCAAATTTGTAGATGCCAGTTCAAAAGTACTACTACGAGTTAGTACACAGCCCTAATTAAAATCGGTTTGGATGGCTAAGCAAGCCGACTACACAACCGATCCGAACTAGACTCGCGAGTCAAAAGTCCGATCCGAACTAGACTCGCGATCCTCTCTGGGTCGATCTATATATATTAGTCAAAGTCCAGCATACCTACGTACGTGAAACCCTCGACCCGCCCGGCCGTTCACCATCGCCGGCGCTCCAAACTCTCTCGATCAGCACGTACACGGATATACGTACGTGCTGCCCGGGCCATCGCCGGCCGACGCTTCGACCAGGTTCAGGCTTCCAGATGGCGCTGAACGAGAGCCTCGCCAGGTTCCAGCTGCTGCAGGAGAGGAACCAGGCGGTTCTGTCCGCCATCGCCGCAACCAGAACCTCCTCCTCCTCATCATCCACTAAGCCGTCCCAGCGGCAGCCCGCTCCAACTCCCCAGCCGGCGGCCAAACCATCCCCGTCCCCGCCCGCGCCTGCCGCCGTCGTCAGGTTCTCCGATGACACGGCGCGGCTACGGAAGATCAACGAGGTGAGGACGTCCACCGTCGGGCACCAGATGAAAACCGTGATCGACCTGCTCGACAAGACGAGGGAAGCTCTTACGTCGCATCAGATCAACCAACGGACCTACGTCGACATCGACGGCAACAGGACCCTCGCCGAGAGCCTCAGGAACAACGTCAAGGTGCGCTTTGACGGGCGACGATACTCCTACAAGCCTACGCACGACGTCAAGGGCAAAGGCGAGCTGCTTACGCTGATCAAGAGCTTCCCCGACGGCCTCCCGGCGTCCGAGGTGGATGACGCGTATCCGGCCGTCCTGGAGGATCTACAGGTTCTCAAAACCTCTGGTGACGTCTATCTGCTACGGGGCGAGGGAGGCATCATCGCGTACCCGAATGACGACCCGAGG